CCCCAGGGGTCATATAGGAGCTATTCATCTCCTCTAATGTCCTAGGCGACACCCCTGTAAAATTTTGGCCGAGATCTCGCCGAGATCATGCATTTTTCTTTCCTGCAGGCGCACATTCTACTAACCTACGCGAATAAATAACCACGCACCCAATTCGTCGCCTCTTTTTACAAGACAGCTCCAACCTTCAAAAAGACAGTCGACATCTACAACTCTTCTCGGCTGTAAAAAAAGACAACAACAAATAACTACCTGCGACTAATTTTCAGTACGGACGATGGTGCTTCGACGAAGCAGACACAACTAACCAAACGAACGAAACCTGTTCACCCGAGATGAACCGAAAAAACTCACCTTTTTTTAACCTACCATCGAGCTTCTTGAAACCACCATGAAATAAACCCGTGACGCCATAACAGACGTTTATCCCGAACAGAAAAAAGTCTCCAGCCACTTCAACATTATCACTGCAAGTAAAGAAAACCAGAAAGCCAACGGCAAAAAGGGGTCACGTGATTCCCTCACATGGAACGGTGGGAAACAAATCTTTTTTCCTCAGGGAAGGGAGGGATAAGAACATAATCAACAAGAGTCGACCTTTTGTTGTGAGTATCACTTTAATTCTCGATTTCGCGCACAATTGATGACAAAAAACCCTTTCCTTCTGTGGGTTTTTTAAGTTTCATTAGATAAAAGACTCTTCTCCATTGGAGATCTGTGTTTGCTAAGGGCTGGCGTCATACTGAAAGGGGGGTTTTGCGCACCCCTTGAGCGCGTGGGTAGTAAGAAGATGGCTGTGGTTCGAGTTAGGGGCCCCAGTGGTTCATTCGCGCTCTGCTGACCTGTCCACACACACACACACACACACACACACAAAAGCACCCCCCACTTTGGTCGGCGACCGAGAGAGAGCGCGCGCGCTCAAATGCCAACCACCAAGAACCCCCCACTTTGGTCGGCGCAGGCACCGCGGTGTGTCGCGTTCGCTGACCTACCCCACTCACACACACACACGAGCGCGCCACGACAGAGAGACGTGCACAGGCTCCAGCCCAAAAAAAAAAAACACCAAAAAAGCCTTTAAAAAGGCGAGACAGCACGTCCAGCGGCTCATAACGCGTCAGCTCTCGAGCAGGACGGCCACGCCAAAACGAGCTCCGCAAAAGGAGCCCCACACACACACACATACACACACACACCAACACACACGACTCGTCGAGTGCCAAACCGAAAAAAAAAAAGACACACGGCAAGACGAGCGCGCGCCTAAGAGCTTAAGTGGTGGCTAGTTAGGGTTAGGGCTAGTTAGGGCTATTAGGGTTAGCAAGGGTTAGGGCTAGTTAGGGCTAGTAAGGGCTAGCAAGGGTTAGGGCTAGTTAGGGTTAGCAAGGCCTTAGGGCTATTAGGGTTAATCCAGTGGGTTAGTTTTGAATACTACTGCTTGTATATCTAAAAAGGAGGCCAGCAAAAGCAGTGGACATTCAAAAAACAGCTCCAGGGTTTATCAAGTTCTGTTTGATGAGAGGCCAGCAGCTGCAATCTTCTGTTTTGTAAATGTGGTTCATGTAGAAGGTCTTGTTGATGGTAATAGTTTCTGTGACAATGGTGGCTCCATGTTGGCACACAGTGGTTTGCAATAGTAAGGCTGATGATGTCTGCACTGGATGATTGACTGAAAGCGCAAGGTAATATGTTTGGGTTAGTTATTGACAGGGATTAATTCAAGTTTTGAGAACTACCAAGGCCATCTTTTTATTTCAACATATACCGGTATACTTTCTTCCATAAACTTTTTTCTCTTTGGACCTAAAAATTTATGCCTTTCACTGTTAAAGTTATGAATTGGATTATTTTTCCAGCCATCAAATTACAATTTTGACTTCCCACAGTACAATTGCAGTTGCTTTCCTTTGGATTGACAATGAAATGGTGACAAAAGGTAGTTCACTTGTCCTTGAAGTCCACAGGTTCAAAGAACTAGTCAAGGCAGCAATTTCCTGTGAAATGTATTTTTTATTCTCAACCACATCACCAGGCTCCATAGCACTGGTTATTTTGGGAAGACATGTTTCCAAAACCCTTCTTAATTTGTGCACATAGAAACTTTCTTGAGTTCCATTTTTTGTATCCTACAAATTTATTTTATGCTCCAGAAGTCTAGTGTTCAGTTATTATCTGAATGTTTTTCAAAATTCTCAACTGAAATACACTGTGTCATAATTCCTTGACTTATTGGCTAAGTTTCAAATAGCACTCTTTGCATTGCTGGTATACCAAAGGGGATGCCTCACTCACAGAAGTATTTTCCTTGATGGATCTTGGTTATCTTCAAATTGACCAAGAACTAAAAGTTTTCATCTTCAGCAATATAATTAGAAATACTTGTACAATAACAGCAATGAATAAAGGCTGATAGTTTCTAAAGAAACGGTTTAGGGCTGCGTCGGTGGGGGTAACGAAATAATTTGAATATATCAACAAAGTTGACTGTTAAGTATAATAACATAGTTACTGTTAAGCAATCTGTGTAACAATATGCTGGCTAAAAGATAAAACTGCTGCATGTTTCATATGGCTTAATAGTGTACTAAGGCATCCAGGACAATTTAAACAACATAACACNAGTTTCTTGGAAAAGAAAGAAAAGAAAAAACAAAGCAATCTCGGGTTTTAGGGTTCGACATTCCATTGAAAACTGCTCTAAAGAAAAAAACAATCAAACTGCCTGCGCTGGAAAACGCGTGGTTTTATTCTTTATATTGCCTGATTGGCTCTGATGAAAACAAATTCTTGAAATACCTGTATCCTGTATAGTTTGTTATCACTTCGATACTTCAATGCTTGCACTGGTGTTCCCATTGTTTGCTTCCCCATCTAGGGAACAAAAAAGAGAGTAAAAGATAAATCAGTGAACTATGTACGAATTCTATGTCTCGTTGGTAGCGTCTCCTCAAGGGCTAAGTCATTTGCTTTGTCTTCCATATAATTCTTTCCAAAAAAACAAAGCAGACGAACTAAAACCACGCTAAACGGCTCTGAATAGGACACTTCCGAATTACCTTAGGCTTCTCTTCCAAAGCGAGTCCTGGTGCTCCTTTTATACAACACAAGTCTCAATTAACATGGAAAGTTATTAACTCACTTATGTATGAACGGTTGAGCACCTGGCCTCGTTTTGAAAAAGAAGTCAAAAGTAATTTGGAAATGGCCTGATAGCCCAGAAAAAATCCCAAAGGACGCAAAGGAACAAAACAAAAGCGAGGTAAATTTGTTTTAGTTAGAAGTTACTTTAGATTTTTAGGTTACAAATGTGAGCGTTTAATCCCATAAAAATCGTTATATTTTGTCCATTGTGCAACATAAACAATCTGCTGCATAGTTACGGAGGCTTCATTGTGCAAGCTTTTGTTTTTTGTTTTGTTTTGTTTTTTGTGTTTTGTTTTGTTTTTTGTTTTTTGTTTTTTTTTGCTTTTGTTTTTTTCTTTTGTAGTAAATCAGGCACAACACCATCAGATACGTAAGGTAGAATGATGTCTTTCTTGGCCCACCCTGTCCAAGGTGGAGATCACAAGCCAAAAATCCATCAAACCATTTCCGTTTCACTTACCTGACATTGGTACATGTTACGGGGGCTTTGGTTGAAATCAGAAAACGGTGTTAAACTCGCAATAGCACTCAACATGCTGCCTGGTTTCAGTTCAAGATGCGTGGTTTCCTGTGCATTCAAAAGAAGGAACATATTTAAAACAGATTCATCAAGCTACAAAAATAAAAATAAAAATTTGTGCAACAGATGCAGTGATATTTGGAATGGAAAATAATAGTAGTAAAACCTTTAAAAATTTTAACATGTGTCAGATACCAAAATTTTACCCACGACAAGATCGCATATTATTACTCAAAAGATGCGTGATGTGTAACTGCAAGTGAAGGGAAGGGGGGGCTGTAAAAAATTCCTAGATCTGCCCTGTTGGTTAATAT